TATAGCATAGTGTTATTCATACACATGATATCCGCCACTTTTCAGTTGTGCTTTGAAACCTATCAAATTTTCATGGTAAATACATCTATTCGTTTCATCTTTAATCTTCATATATTTCAACGATTTTGAATGCACGCGATATGGTGTATGTTTCATGCTATATTTCCATAAAACTGTTTACAATTATATGCCTCTACCAAAATTGAAATCATTTTCTTTTAGTTAATGACGGACAAGAATGCTGATATCTCTATCCCCAAAATAGTTTTTCTTGTACTTTACACCACAATTGTGCTGACGCATTTATACTTTTATTGCTACTCAGCTGAAAGACTTTTGACGGAGGTAAACATCGAATTATATACTCTAATGACGACTTATGTAATACTGAAATTTCATTTTCAGAGTATTAATATAGTGTACGGTGTGTACGAATGCAAGTGGTACGATTTGCCGGTGAAAAGATTTGATGTTTATAATGTACCGATTTACGATTCCACTTATACTGACAGCAGGAAAATTCGGTACTTTTTCGTTAGAGATGTTCGGAGCGGTAAGATATCTGCGAAAAAACACATTATTTTCTATGTAACTTGTGTAAAGTGTAATGTTATTTATTTTAGGTTACATATTGGAAACTGTATGTATGCAGGGTGAGGCAATTTACTACTTTGAGAATATCTTCGAAAAATTTTATTAATGATTAGATAAAATAACATAAAAAAGCTTTATGTTTATAGAAAGTATTCGAAGTGATGAGTATTGATACCAATGCACACATATATATACGCGCGCGCGCGCATATACACACACACACACACACAAAATATTTCTGTTGAAAATGTGTTTTATATTTTTAATATACTCTTACATTTCGAAGATATTCAAAGTAGTAGTTACTGCCTTATATATATTTTTTCTGGATAGTAGTACATGTCAATTTTCTATTATTATTACTGCACGTAAAATAAAAATATGTTTGCTCCGTTGTACTACATGGGCTGAAAAGTCCCGGGATTTTTCAATAGGTGGCGTCACTAGAAAATGAACATGATTTATTTCGAGAGGTTCATCTGTCACTAGTTTATTTAGTCAAAACAATTGGTTTCTTTTCTATTGCAAATTACAAAAATGAAGTATTACATGATACTGTCGTACTTGCACCAAAGTGAATTTTATTCATTTTCCGAAATAATGAGAAAAATCAACACATGCAAAATGGACAAGAAGAAAATGATTTCTAGGACACGGAGTCAATTATTGATGATTGTAGATTTGTACAAAAATTTTCCGGATAGTTCACAATCGATTGTGAGATTGATTTTACTGTAACTAAAGTGATTGTTTTCTTTCGTGAACTTCTTAAATGTTTAATTGTGTTTTCATTATTTGTGCCTTTCCTTTTCATCTGCTAATGTAAATATGCCGGAAATATTGTAAATAACAAACTCAAATATAATAATAAAATTGTTATGTCCGGCACTCACGATCTCATATCCCGATTGATAACCGTAAAATAAGTAGATACATTTTTTAGACTTTTTTGGGAATGCAACGGCTCTTTTTATTGGGAACGCAACGGCTCTTTAACAGAACAGATGATTAATAAATAATCTCGTGATATCTTTTGATAGCACGAAAGCTCGTGGTATACTATGTTGTCTTCAGTCGTTGCTCTTGAAGATCCGTCTTCATGTATTGTTTATAGACACATGTACCCAGTCAATGCAATATTACAACTCGAACCGTGAAATGTCATGACGCACAGCAATATTATTAATGAATCGATATTTCTTTATAGAATAACATCTCGACTGTGGTCGAGAAACAAGCTGCCTTCGTAACAATTGATCAAATGCGATTGTGCGATTTTCGTTTTACTACTCACTCATATGCTTACACGAAAGGGTTTACTAATCTGCATGCTATAGTAGGGGTTGAATCCTTAGTGTACTGAGCAAGCGCGAAATCACGGCAATTCGGTACGAATAGTGAGGGGCGACTCAGTCAAAGTATAATTTCCGTTAAGCGAACTTCAATGGGTGTCAAGGAAGGTAAAACAACTTTTGGACAATAAAACGAGAAAAATATTATTGTGACGTCCTATTAAAATTGAATAATCGTAAAACATTTATGCAATGCAATGCAGTTCATGTGACACGAAAAGTGCATTAAGAGAAATTTTTCTCCTAGATTGAAATATAGAAGGAAGTTTAAAAATTAAAATAAATTATTTTTGCGTTATGTTAAATGTAATAGAAAATCAAAGTAAAATATTTTAATTATCGAATATTCATTTTCCACACGACGTGCTGTGCATTGGACGTGCTTTGCATCGGAAAACATTTTTTATTCTTAATACTTTCTTAATATTTTCGTTATTCAAGAAGAAAATTAACTTTACGTAACTTATTTTCTTTTCCTCTAGAGGGCCGATCATTTTTAACTTACTTTTCTTACTTACTTTAAAATTATTGAGAGTACAAATTAGTTCGGTCCGTTTTTTGTGGTAAAAAATACAATTATTTTACAACAAAATAAATGAACAGATTAATCAAAGTATTGTTCATTGCTGGCTACTACTTCTTTCCACCTCTCAGGCAATTTTTGAATTCCATCTCGAAAAAATGTCTCGTCTTTGAGGCGATCCAAGTTAGGAGCCAATTTTCGATTTCTGCGAAAGAAGTGAACCGGTGACTTGCCAAATCGTGCTGCATCCATCGGAACAACCAGTAATCAGAAGGAGCAAAGTCTGGCGAATTCGGCGGGTGCGGTAAAATATCCCACTTGAGCGTTTCCAAATAATATTTTACGACTTTTGCGACATGAGGCCGAGCGTTATCATCCAGAAGAATAACTTTGTCGTGTCTTTGCTCGTATTCCGGCCGTTTTTCTCGTAATGCACGGCTCAAACGAATCAATTATAGCCTATACCGATGGCCCGTAATGGAATCGCCAGGTTTGACTCGGATCTTTATCGAGTAATGTCTCCAATTCTTTGTCTTCGAATTTTTTGGCTGTCTAAAGCGAGGCTTGTTTTCAACACTGAAATCAACATTCTTGAAACGCCAAAACCATTCCCTACATGATTTATCAGTTGGAGCATTGTCACCATAAACTTCTACAAGCATTCGATGCGCTTCAGCTGCACTTTTCTCCCAATTAAAGCAGAAAACTAAAACCTCCCGCAAATGCTGCTTAGTTAACACAAAACTTGACATATTCAACACAGTAAAAAACAGGGGTTTTGTATGAAACTCAAAGCGATATAAACTGGATATTATTGACAGATGTCTAATCTCTCTGAAACCACCGAAATCAGCTGTCACTATGAAACATTTATAACAGCCAGAGACAACTTTTGAAAACGGACCGAACTAATTTGTACTCCCAATAATTAAAATTATTAGAATGCGATAGTTGCGAACGATTATATTCTGTGTATTTATTAATATTATTTATCAATATTATTTATTAAATATATCTCATATTTTTAAAGAAGGAAATATAAATAAATTTGATATTTATATAATTGTTGGTTGTGTTATATACAGAAAGATTTAGTCTTTCGCTTTGTAGTAAATGTTCGCGAAAAATCATGTTGCAATGCAACCAGTTTAGGGATTTGTCATAAAACTTTATGCCGCCGCGGAAGTTTGCCACAGTTGGCATCAAAGTTTCTTTTAGCTTTATATACGAGCAAAAAATATTCGCTTTCGAAGTAGAACTTCACTATAATGTTTCTACATATCAAAGTTCGATATGTCGCAAAAAACGAACGTTTATCGTGAATGAATCGGTCTTCGTTTTCATATAGAGTAACCAAATCATGAACTGATACTTAGGAAAATGAAGGGATAATAAAAACAGAAATCTTTTTCTCTCTAATATTATTTTTAGAAATTGTATGTAATTCCTAGGATAATATTCAGCGAATAGAAATAATAAAATTAATAAAATTCATTGAAATTGAAACACTCATATTGAGTGAGTGCAAAAGTTCATGCCAAATTCTAATAGATGTCATTAGGAGAGTTGTATGTGGCCATTGATTGTTATATATACGTATTGCGTGTCTACGAAGTGACATTTAATGGTCATTTGAGTGAAAGACTTGTGTATTTTGATTGATTTTGAACTGCTCCCCGTTAGCTAAATGATTAATTTTAAAAAATACTATCAACAATTAGACAATTTAAAGATAACAATCCAGGAGAAGTCTCCAACTTTGGCCAGTCGTAAGGAAGTCGTTTTTCATCACGACAACGCGAAACCACACACTGCAAAACAGACTTTGTATAAACTAAATGAATTGAAATGGGATATCATATTACCAGATTTTCTTGATATTACACCTTCAGATTATCGTTTATTTTGATCATTGCAAAACGATTTGAATGGAAAAAATTCTCATCTTTGGAGGCCATCAAAAACCATTTTTCTTCCTTCTTCAACACAAAATTGAGATCGTTTTATAATTGAGGCATCTGTATGCTACCAGAACATTTGAAAAAGATTGTAGAAAACAATGGCAATTACATTATTGATTAATAAAAAATTTTATATGCCAAATTACTGTTTGGGTTTAAATGATAAATCGGGCACAAACTTTTGCACTTACCTTAACTTGAACTTAAAATAATCATATTATATTCGAATTTTATTTTTATTGCTCATCGATATTAATATATATTCACTCGAGTTGTTTCGCTTTTTACAGTATTTCCTTTTTAAACAGATTATAAATTGTTATATAACTCTAAATTAATATAATTAGATGATATTTTCTTTTGAAATTTACTTTTGTAGATTTGCATTATACATTCTATTTGAATCACCAATGCTTGCGATTACTAGGCATATGGCCCGATTCATATTCATCTTTGAGTGACATTTGTCGGCCTAAGTTAGGATTCGTCATTGCAGTGTGTATTCTAAGCATTTACATGTTCATACCGCAACTTGTAAATGTGATACTTTCTTGGGGTAACGTGGCAATAATGGTGCAACACATCGCCACCGCTAATTATAGTTTGTTAGCACTTAGCAAGCTGATTGCCACTAAGTATTACGGCGAAAGTAAGTGATCGCTTTTATTGCAGTAAAAATAAATAAATATATGACTAATTAATTAGACCGTATTAATTATTGAAGCATTCCGAAAAATTATATCCGGTATAAGATTTCTTTAAACTGCGTGCGATATAATTAGCAGTCATCCGAAATAATTTCTCTAACTTTAAGCAATAATTTTTTATGCAAATTTAATACAATTTGACAACTAATATTCGTATTAATAATCGGTCAGTCAAAAAGCTTGATTTAAATTTTGACTTTATTGAATTCAATGACAATTGAATTAAAATTCTTACCAATGATGCATGCATGTGTTCAGAGGCAGATTTATTGAAAGCATTAATGATGGGAAACATCACAGATTTTATAATATTTAATTAAAGTTTATTTTATAAAATGATATAAATTTAAATGAAAGTTCGACCAACCTTTATAACTGACCCAATACATCATTTCTGATCTAAAAGCACTTCGCAAACTGATTACATTAGTCACCACCGATTGGACAACTTCGAAACAAACCTGGGAACGAAACACGATGTTGAAGATTGCCAAGCGTGGAAGAAATCTGTCTTTTAGATGTTATATATCCTCCATGGGCACTTTCCTGTTTTATCTGTTTGTTAATCTCCTGAAATTCTACCGAAACTTCCACCAGTCTGAACGGAAACTCGTTTATCAGTTCAATTATCCTTATAACATTCAGAAAAGTCCGAATTATGAAATTACGTTTTTTATACAACTGTGCGGTGCCTTGTATATGGGCCTAGTTCTCTGCTCTGTTGACAGCCTTATTTCGATACTTTTGTTGCACGTGTGCGCGCAGCTGATAAATCTAGGAAAAACGCTCAACGAACTGGTCGAGAAGCTAGCAAAACAATTTATATCCTGCTCAAGATTTAGGAAGGACCTGGCTGCGATTATCGAGCGGCACGAGAATCTCATCAGGTATTTTAGCAAAATTTCAGATTATAATTTAATACTGCAACGGATTTCAATACAATAGAATTATACTAATTTTTAAGGTCTGCTAAGACAATAGACGACTGCTATAGCACAGTATTATTCATACACATGATAGCCGCCACTTTCCAGTTGTGTTTTGAAACCTATCAAATTTTCATGGTAAATACTTCTATTCACTTCATCTATTCATTTCATCTTTAATCTTCATATATTTTCAATAAGTTGCATTATTGAGTGTGCCTGATATAAGTATGTTGATTCGCCCAATATTTCTACAAAACAGTTTACAATTATATGCTATCATATCTATTAAAATTGAAATCATGTTATTTTCAGTTAATGACGGATAAAAATGCGAATATTTCTGTTTTTAAAATGACTTTTCTTGTGCTTTATGCCACTGCTGTTTTGACGCATTTATACTTCTATTGCTACTCAGCTGAAAGACTTTTGACGGAGGTAAGTGTCGAATTATATAGATTGGTCTAATTTACAAGTATCTCACAGCTGCTGTGCTAGCGACAGACATTGATATATTGAATTTTGAACCTCGAACCTTGATTCTGTTGCTAAGTACAACAATTGTTATATACTTGTAAATCACTGTTATATATTTGTAAATCAGGTTATTATGAATAAAAAAATTCTTTATTATTTTAGAAACAACAGGCAATCTCTTGAGTTATTAATTAAAGAAGCCCTTATACATGGCCACTTTCAATAATTAATAACTCGATATTTTGTATGTTGTTTGCAAAATGGTACGTGATTTTTTCATTCATTTCAATCCGTTCTATGTGCTCATGAAATTTGTCCATTGAATTCTGTATACAGGTTGTTCCAAACCGTCTTTGTGAAGGTACACCAGATAAAACTGAGCAGAAAGTCATGTAACATTTTATAAAATTCGTAAAGTTAATGAGGAATTAATTATTTTGTCCGAGCTAATGAACGCGCAGGAAGCTGTAAGTTAGACTTTGTAATTTAGACTGTAAGTTAGACTTTGTAAGTTAGATTGTAAGTTAGACTCTGTATAAAGAAAAACAGCTTACTTACCACTTACTTCTGAAAATCTCCTAGCAACGATGAATATCAACTAAGAGCGAGAGGCGTATTTCTTTTCAGCATACAGGCTTGTGTCACATGCCGTTCGCTGTTTGCTGCATTATTCCGTTTTTAGAAATCAAGTTGATGCTCATCGTTGCTAGATTTTCGAAAATAAGCCATTTTTCTTTATACATGGTTTAGCCTACTTTTGGCAAACAACGTGCAAAATTTTAAATTATTAATTTAAAAAATGGCCATGTATAGGAGCTTCTTTAATTAATAATTAAATTCTCATTAACTACTGCGAATTTTACAAAATGATACATGACTTTTCAATTCAGTTTTACCCGTTTTATCTGCACATCATAAGAACAGTTTGGGATACTTTCTGTATAGATATATCCAAATGACGATTTGAAGTGAAGAGTGATTAAAATTTCAATTTCAGAGTATCAATATAGCGTACAGTGTGTACGAATGTAAATGGTACAATTTACCGGCAAAAGATGCGAAAGACTTGATGTTTATGATGCATCGATCTACGATACCACTTAGATTGACAGCTGGAAAATTCGCTATTTTTTCGTTAGAGATGTACGGAACGGTAAGATATTTGCAGAAGGAATACTTGAGTTTCCGTGCAAGGATGTTTTCTTTTTTAGTTTATATCCTAAGTTGCAATTTGACATCATTATGGTGTCATTTTAAAATTATTTCTCGTTCTATAACATCAATCGATTAAATAATGACATAAAAAATGTAATGACAAAAAGTGATGTTTTTGACAATATATTATCATAAATAAAAATAACATATTATTGTCATGCAATGAGCACGAGCATGGCATAGCAGATAGCGTACTGGTCTACTTTTGGTAGAAACCAAAATATTTACGCTCGTGTCTTCTCTCGGAAAGAAGCTGCAACTTTACCGAGAGTATCTTTGCCAAGAGAACCTCTTTAAATAATATGCTGTTCTGAATCGGCGTTAAACTGTAGGTTCTATACGCCTGTGTATAATTAGCGTGCATACTACAGGCAAATGAAAGAGGTCACCATGTCCGAATACGGGCAATGAGACTGAGAAGATTATTGTCATAAAAAATGCTTCATTTAAACATCATTTTTATTTTTATTTTCATTTAAAAACGTTATGACTACGTGCCTATTTAACGCAAAGATAACAAGTATACATCATTTTGACATCAAATACTAGGCATCTTAGTATAGAAAATTTTATTAATGACATTAAAAATTTCAAAAAGAGAGCATCTTTTCCGAATATATGTGCGTCATGATTGTTATTTTGTGAAGCATCATTGTCGGAAGTAATCAACAGTCATATTATACGAATAATCGGACATAAATGTGTCTAATTGAACATTTTTGATGTCACTATGCCTAAAGTATGGAACTACTTAATTAATCTTTTATACAAATGAAGTCGAGTAACCATCAAAATGATCAGCATATATGTCTTTTAAATGATATTATACTGATGTTATTATGTCACGTTTTTATAACGTAATATTTTGGAGACAAACTGTAGTGCTTCATTTTCAACATTGAAATCTAATGGTAATTTTTTTTCTTAATCGTTAATAATAGCTTTTTTTATTATATAGTTCTTATGTTCAACATATTTATGTTGTTTTGGACATATTTCATGAATGGCCGTATTTCATATTTCAGTACATATCTCATCTTATTGTAAACAAATTTGATGTAGGAAATGATCGCTCGACTATTTTCAATATTGCCAATAAATATAGTATTACAACATTTTTTGAATGACGCAATAATTTTGGGTATGGGAATAAATTTCCCCCCTTTCTTAATGAAAAAGAGGTATTTATTTTAACAAAACAATACAGAGTGAGTTCATTTAAAGTATGCTCCATTGGAAGCGACAACTTTCTCCCACCTTTTAGGTAATAAACGGATTCCTCGCAGGAAGAAATCTTGTTCTTTTGAAGCGATCCATTCATTAAGCCATTTTTTGATACCTTCATAAGAACTGAATTGCTCTCCAGAAAGGGCCGACTGCATGGACCGGAATAAATGGAAATCTGAAGGAACAACGTTCGGTGAATATTCTATTTTTCATTGCCAGTCACGATACGGTGCAGAAAACCCTTCCTTTGTTGTCGTTGAAGCAGCATTTCGCACGTGACCAAACATCTTTCTATGTCTCTCTCTTTCAATTTATATGGCACCCAATTTCCTTCTTTTTGCACCATTCCCATTGCGTGTAGACGTTTTCCAACAGTGGATTTATCAACATTTAATTCTTTTGAGAATTCATCGAGATTGACATGGATCTTTTTCGGGTAATATTTGCAATTCTGCATCTTCAAATTTTGTCCGTGCACCTTCGCGTTCTTTATCACGCACGTCGAAATCACTATTGTTAAATCCCCGAAACCATTCTTTACAAGTGGTATTCGGTGGAGCATGCTCACTGTAAATATCTACGAGCAAATGATGCGTTTCCGCAGCACTTTTCTTTAAAATAAAATAATAGAGTAAAATTTCCCGCAAATGTTGCTTTTTTTGAATAAATTCCGACATTTTCAACGCAAAAAAATGATTCTTGTTTACGCTTCGAACGAATGCCAACTACTGGGTTCAAAAGTTTGAACACAAATCTTTCAAGTACATGTATTGCCATTTTATCAAACACACAAGCAGTGCTATTAACGACATCTCTCTACAATGGGCGGAAACTTATTCCCATACCCAATATATTATAAGCATAAATAATAATATCGTTAAAACTCTTTAGCATCACTTATTCGAGTACGGTTCAAACTCAAGCAACGGAGACGATGTTCACTAGAAGGATGGATGATTGCGCACAGGATGTGGAAATGGACATACAATGAAACGTAAAAAGTTTTAGAAAAGAAATATCGAATTTTTTAATTCTATTTAATCTAAAGGTTGAAATTTTTTTAGTAAGTAAAAAATTAAAATTAAAAAGTAAAATTAAAAGTAAATTACATGTAATAATTCTTTTTTCAACCGAGCAGCGAAATTATTTTTATATTATTATTCATAATTATTTATAATAATTTATTATTACTTATTGTTAATTTATTATTTTATAATTATTATTTATTATTATATATACTCGACAAAATTGATAATTTTTACAAAACATCTCAGGCTGATAAATTTCATGCCATTTATCATTTATAATTTTATATATTTGATAAATTATTGGGAGTACAAATTAGTTCGGTCCGTTTTCAAAAGTTGTCTCTGGCTGTTATAAATGTTTCATAGTGACAGCTGATTTCGGTGGTTTCAGAGAGATTAGACATCTGTCAATAATATCCAGTTTATATCGCTTTGAGTTTCATACAAAACCCCTGTTTTTTACTGTGTTGAATATGTCAAGTTTTGTGTTAACTAAGCAGCATTTGCGGGAGGTTTTAGTTTTCTGCTTTAATTGGGAGAAAAGTGCAGCTGAAGCGCATCGAATGCTTGTAGAAGTTTATGGTGACAATGCTCCAACTGATAAATCATGTAGGGAATGGTTTTGGCGTTTCAAGAATGTTGATTTCAGTGTTGAAAACAAGCCTCGCTTTAGACAGCCAAAAAATTCGAAGACAAAGAATTGGAGACATTACTCGATAAAGATCCGAGTCAAACCTGGCGATTCCATTACGGGCCATCGGTATAGGCTATAATTGATTCGTTTGAGCCGTGCATTACGAGAAAAACGGCCGGAATACGAGCAAAGACACGACAAAGTTATTCTTCTGGATGATAACGCTCGGCCTCATGTCGCAAAAGTCGTAAAATATTATTTGGAAACGCTCAAGTGGGATATTTTACCGCACCCGCCGAATTCGCCAGACTTTGCTCCTTCTGATTACTGGTTGTTCCGATGGATGCAGCACGATTTGGCAAGTCACCGGTTCACTTCTTTCGCAGAAATCGAAAATTGGCTCCTAACTTGGATCGCCTCAAAGACGAGACATTTTTTCGAGATGGAATTCAAAAATTGCCTGAGAGGTGGAAAGAAGTAGTAGCCAGCAATGAACAATACTTTGATTAATCTGTTCATTTATTTTGTTGTAAAATAATTGTATTTTTTACCACAAAAAACGGACCGAACTAATTTGTACTCCCAATATGTATAAATGTCGTTATTTTGTCATCATAAGTAAGATGTCAATGATTTTAAGACTTTACACACTTTCGTACACTATGTTAAAGGTGATTTTTACATAATTGATGACTAAAAAAGTGACTATAAAAGACTTGATTATGATGTCGCCTTGCTACTTGGGATATTGGATATTAAATTTATGCAGAGTGCATAAGAAATAATAACTATTACCGTCTTGAATATGCTTGATAAATTAAAATATTTTATTAATGACTAGATAAAAGGCGAAGAAAGTTTATAATTATAGATGTTCGAAATAATGGCTATTGTATATGTGGTGTCAATATTAACTATATACTAATTACAGTATCTGTTATCACTTGAATTTCTGTTAAAAATTTTTTTCTTTTACTTTTAAATTTCGAAATTATTCAAAGTGGTAATATATATAGTTATTCCCTCACACTGTATATTTTTATTGTTCTAGACTGTATTGGATATCTATTATTGTTACTGCAAGTAAAATTAAAATAAAAGCACATTTGTTTCATTGTAGACGGTGAAAACATCAATAGGATACTTATCTGCGTTGCTGACAATGAGCGATTAAAAAAAATAATATTGAAAGTAACAACAGAAGAATTTGGCATTATTGATCACCAATTTTTAAATGAATGAACTTGTTTATATGCACTATATCTTATATGATTTGTATTAAAGAATTACACCTTTATATACAGAAGTAAAAATTATTTACTCCTAAAAAAATAAGATTATTTAATTGTCTATTCTTGCGTCATCTTTTAGTATATTAGTTAAATCAATCAAATTCTTTTTTGTCACAACCCAGCAAACATCTGTAAATATACTAACAACGTTATTATTACGTCATTATATTTGCTGGGAAGTTATTAAAATGAAGTGTTAGACAATATTGTAACACCTACACCAAGATGAAATTCTCATGAATAGCAAAATCGTGAAATCCGTACTGCGAAATAATGACAAGAGACAATACTTGCAGATAGATAATTGGAACGTAATTTTCAAGACTCGTAGTCAATTGTTTAAAATTCGAATTTCGTACAAGAATCTTCATACAAAAAACAAATAGATTACAATCGGTCGTAAGGTTGAACTTGGTACAACGAAGGTGATTGTTCTTTTTCGTGACTTATTAAATATTTAGTTGTATTTTCATAATTTTTGTCCTTTCCTTTCATCACGAGCGCTAGTGAAGGTGAGTGAATATATCAAAAGTGCTGTAAATAACAAACTCGGACATTAATGTTATAATAAATATATACCTGTATGGAGTAAGCAGTTCGACTGTGTTTGAAGAGCAAGTGCTTTCTTCATAATAGCTGATCGAACGTTTGGGCGGCATTCGTTTCACTATCAATGCTTATATGAAAGGGTTTGCAAAACTCACGGATAATAGGGATTGAATTTTTCATGCACTGAACAGGCGTAAATTATGATGATTCAGTATGATCGTGGGGAGCGACTTAGTCTAACGACTATTTATGCTATGTGAACTTCAATGAGTGTCAATAAAGATAGAGCAAATTTTGAAAAAGGAATAGAGAAAATTACTATCGCAACGTTCTAACAATATTACATAATCGCATCATGAAATAATTATGTAATTCGACATAATTTGTATGCGATTACAAGTGCGTTAAGTAAATTTATTTATTTCGGGTTTCTCGGTGAACAATTATAAATTATTATTCGCGCGACGAGAATTGAATATCGAATAATTTGTAATCTAGTTATGACGCGCGTCGGAAAGTGTGATCTTTTACTTTTCTTCATATCATCTTATCTTTTACTTTTTAAATATTTTAAAATGTTAATTATAATAATTTAATATATATTTTATTTCATTTACGTAGCTTAAAATATAATAAACGATTTTATGTTTCTATTTTTTTAATTGTTCAATATATTATTGGGTCTATGCATAATTTCGTAGCGAAATTCCAACAGATGTCGTTCGCAGTTGTTTTTTCGCTCGCATATGTGTCAAACATACGAAATGTAGTACATTAAGTGAAAGCTGAAATTTGTGCCGATATTTTAAGAAAATATTTATCAAGATCCGTGACATATATGAAGTTTAATTATATTTTGAAAATTGAAGGAAAAAAATATATATTTTCGGTGCATTTTGCTTTTTTATTTCCAAAAAGGCAAAAACACGTCGCAAATTCGCAAAAAGATATGCGCCATGTACGAAGAGCGCCATGTACGAAGGCCATGTACGCCGTAAGGGAAAGTGTGTGTTGAAAATGGTTTGCAAAATTTCGTTGCGGAGATTTTGATCTCCAAGATGTTTCTCGCTGTGGTTGGCCAGTCATTATTGATGTCGGTCAAATCAAGGCTTTAATCGACTCCGACCGGTATTTAACGACTACAGAGATTGGACTTAATCTCAACATTGACCAATCAACTGTTTCCAGACATTTACGGAAGCTTGGGATGGTAAAAAAGCTCGATGTTTGTGTGCCGCACGAACTGAGCGAAAAGAATGTAATGGACTGAATTGTAGCTTGCGATTCGCTGCTCAAACGCCATCAAAATGAATCATTTTTAAAGCGGATAATCACTGGTAATGAAAAGTGTATTGTTTACAACAATGTCAGTCGAAAAAAATCATGATCGAAGCGCTGGGAGGCTGCTCAGATAGTCGCAAAGGCTAGATTACATTACATTACATTACCGAAAAAGGTTATGCTCAGTATTTGGTGAGATTGGAAAAAAATCTTCTATTATGAGCTGCTGCTACCCAACAAAACGATTGATTCGACCAAATACTGCTCACAATTGGCCAAATTAAAGCGAACAATCGATCAGAAGCGACCTGAATTGGCGAACAGAAAGGACGTTGTGTCCACCAAGACAACGCTAGACCACACGTTTCTCTGATGACCCGGCAAAAGTTATTGCGGCTTGGGTGGGTTGTTTTGGTGCACTCACTCTATAGTTCGGAGTTTGCATCTTTAGACTATCATTTGTTCCGGGCGCTACAGAACAATTTGAATAACAAAACCTTTAATTCCCTGGATGTCCTCAAAAACTACTTGGATGACTTCTTTGCCCAAAAATCTCAGGACTTCAATGAAAGAGAGATAATGAAGCTCGTGGAGAGATGGCAGAAAGTCATTGGACAGAATGGAATATATTTAATTGATTAAAATCGCTTTTTTCGCTAAATATTTTGAAATTTACTCGCTTTTCGCTACAGAATTTTGCATAGAATTACATTAACTATAACATTAGATCTACACAAGTCATAAAGAAATATTTCCGAGTTTATATATTGCATAATCACAGCGACGTCTATGAAAATATTAATATCAATTTAGCCAAACCGTAATTTTGTTTACAAGAGCTGATACAAGAGCTTGTTACAAGAGCTAATGACAAGCGAAAGTAAAAAGACTCGACAAGTACTAATTTTTGTTTTTTCTATATTACGGTAATGTTGGTGCGTCTACTTTGAGCTGTCACACAAACGCTATAAGTAATAGTGAGCCTACATTTAATATATGTTTTTCTGAAAAATGAAATTTGTCAACGACAATAGTAATTAAATGCTATTTATGCTTTATTTCGGATACTTTTCAATCGACCCTCGTAGACGTCGCTGCGATTATGCGATACATTGACTTGGAAATGTTTTAGTTATCATTATTTTTGTAGGGGATAATATAGTAAAATAGGCAATATAATATTGTTACGC